TGTTAATCAATTTTATCCTACTATGTATATTGAATTAGTGTACTGTATATGTGATTGTAATCCTTGTAAACGGCTCAAACTAAGATTCCACACAATTAAGTATCAATCTTTTTATTCATTCATCTATTTTTATTGCATGATTGTTTATCATCCCACTACTTTTGTGAGTGGTGAAGACCATGAAACAAAGGATATGTTCTCTAGTATTGGACACATTAGTACATGTTCTCATAGTAGCATAGAAATATAATATAGAGTACAAATTATTACAATTAAAAAAATAAAAAAAAAAGACGATAAAATTTAATATTTTTCAAGAATAATCTAAGCATGCAGTTAAAAAAATGGAGCCAATATAATAGCCAAACCTCTACGAATTTGGAAAATTTCATGTCCATGCCCATCTTATTCGGACCGGATAACCCGGCCGGTCTATGCAGACCCTTCGGCTAAATGGACTGCATTACTATTAGATGGGTACAAAGGGTTTGGATTGTGGATAGTTTTGAGATTTATAGCAAGCCAAAGTGACCTAACAAATTTGGCAAGGAATCTTTGTATCCTATTGCTTTTTGCAACCAAAAAGAGTAGGAAAAGTTATTGTGGTGCTTTGATTCTGATTTATGTGTGTTATTCTAGGATTCCATTTGTTGTTTCTTGTTACAATTACACATGGATTACTGCTTTGTTAACACCTGGTTTTTATATCTCCTCTATAATATATTCCGATTATTATTATGGATTCATGCTTCCAACAAGTTAAAGTGACAAATAAATCTAGAAGAGTTGATAATCAATAAATTCAAGTACTTACTAGTAGAAAACAGCTCGAATCTAATGGCCTTGTAACAATAAAAAAATTTTGTGATCAAGAATCAATACGAATCCTAGAGAGTAAGAAAATTAACGGGATATTTATTTATATATTTTTGTAAGATAAGGGTACAACATATTTCGGATTGCCAAATACTTAAGACAACATCTTAGTTTCTTTTAGATTTTAAATGAAAAGAAGCTAAATTACAATAATATTATTCTTCGCTAAATTTTATATGATTTTGAAATTTGATGGGCAATGATTGCAAAATAGATACATACAAAGTAGTTAGCAACTCTATTAACTTGACAATAGTGGACTAAACATAGGCTAATGTTACAACATGACATCTTTCCAGGTGCATCAATACCTAGACTTTCACTATAATAATTTCATGATGACGATGTTAATAGTGAATTAAAGCAAAAAATGATGTTGGTCTACGCCTCCACCAACCATTTTGTTTCACAAAGGCAAAATCAACGAAAATTTAGCATATATAATGTTCCAAATTATATTACAGAATCTAAAAAAAATGGGTGTTCATCATAAAAGCAATCCCTTTTTTTTATCAAAACATTCAAAAGTCACGCACCAATATAATTATATTGGATCTTGCTCACAAACGCTTGTCTTATTTTTTACTTTAATATTCCCACTTTTAGTTTTCTTATCTGACGTCCGGAGGATGTTAATTAGCTTTTGCCTAGCTATAATTTTCAACACGGAGATCAATAAATCAATCGTCCTTAGAGTTGGCAAGCCTAATGATGAAAGAAATTGATTGAGAGTTGGCAATTTATTCATTGTATCTCTCTCACGAGGATTGTCAATCTTAAACAACACAAATTTTTTCCTTGAAAAAAAAAAAAAAAAAAAAAAAGAACTCTTACACGAAATTGTCATCCATAGAAGTTGCCTCGCCGTATAGTCATATACTCGTATACCACCATACGCTTGTCAATCTACTCATCTTATCCTTAAATTGGCTTTAGACTAGTCATCATGAGGCAGGGCAACCAGCTTTCCCATTTTCAGCACATTATCAATTAACCACAATAAGACTATATATGACAATATACTATATGGACAGAAATATACAAAAATTTCGATATATTCAACATCTTTTTTATGTACTAAATTTGAGATAAAACTCACATGCCAATTCAATAAGGCAATTTTATGTAACATCCATGAAGCCAAACCCACTTGGGGCATCAGTAATAGAAGTTAGTTTTGAAGGCCAGTGATAAAGACTTTGCATAAAATGCATTATAACAGATGAATTGTTGGATTTTCATATTTTTGTGGACCAGTCAGCATCACTGCCAACTCTAGGCATTCCTCCTTTGATTCCCAGCTGCTTGTTCTCCTTCTTAGTCTCTTGGGTTACCTCGAAGGTTGATCCACATGTTTCGCCTGAGCTATCAATCCATGGGACTGCCTTTAGCACTTTCAGTGGATGCTCATAACTTTTAAGGCCACCAGATGATGTAAAGTAGCATCCTGATTAAGAAGGAAACAAGAATACACAGTCACAAATTGCACCATAGGAGTAAAGCAATGGATGGATACGTGTAGAGGTGATAATGATATGAGTAGAGCTTGAGTTTGGCTCAGCTCAACTTAAAAATTCATGGAAAAAAATTTGATGTTTATTTGGACTCAAAACCTCTACTTTTAGGATTCAATTGAGCTCGGCACAAACATGGCTTGAACTCAACTAGGATTGGTTCGAGATCAGCGAATACATGGATGCATGTTAGTTGCATATTAGGTAGAATATATATAGCTTCTCTTGAGCTATACAAGTCTAGTTTAGAGTTGAGATGAGCTCACTCGATTTGAGTTTTGATGGAATAGGGCTCTCAAAAACACTCATCTCATGATCACGGAATCACCCCTAATTAGAGGGATGATTTTCAAAGCTTAACCACAACCACCAAATACATAAAATTGACAAGTAGTGTCCTGTCTTTCCATACCTTGTATCCTGTCTTTCCATACCTACTGTATTCTAGAGAAAACTGGCTACTGGCTATATATAAAATTAGTTGACAGGGATAGCAAAGAATAAAACATTTGGTTTTTACCAAGACAGTAAATTCACTGATCAAATCTTCTGTATTAACTAGAAAGAAAAGGACCCTATATAAATTCTGTTCTGTTTTGTGTTTCTTAGGTAAGGAGGTGGGAATAGTAAAAACAGCAGAAATGGACAGAAACAAAGATGAAGATGCCACACAATTTTTTAAGTAAATAGCAATACAGTGTAAGTGCATGCATCCTATGGCACTCTGGAAGTTAATTGAGTGCTTGAGATAATACCTTTTGGAAATGGAGCAAATGATCTCCCACAGGCTTTCTGTATAATCTCAGCAATGTCGGAGAGAACAAGGTGATCTTCAGAATCCGTTCCCCAGAAGAGAGGGACACTTCCTTCATTGTCCTAAAATACCAAAAGGGTTAACATCATTAAACCTATAATATACTTGTATATATATGTATGCAATACAGAACAAAGGTTCTACTGAATATATAACACACATATAAGCAAACATATATAAAACTATAAAATCCTTTAACAATGAAAGCGGGAAGCCCTGCTCTAATTACTTACCACTGAAACGAAGGTTCTCTTTGTCGAACTGTCATAAATGACAAATGCAAACTTTCCATCAATGTTTCTCAATGCATGATCAGCAGGATTGCTGCTTCGGTCCCTCATGGCACGATAAGCCTCTATGATGATGCTCACCTCATTTGCAGTTTTAGTCAATCCATACAACTGTTTTAGAGAAGCTATGTTCTCAATGTGCCCATGAAACAAGCAGTATATGTCATCCACTACAGCAAAAAGCCTGCAGGAAAATGTTCAGAAATTGGTATCAATGAGCTCATCAGCTCACATAATTAGCCTAAAGGGCCAACATCAACACAAAGAAGCTTATCTACCCCGAATCACAATAACATGAGACAGAAACCGAATTCTGATAGCTAAGTCTTTTAGGGGTGGTCAACTGGAAGGCTAGGATCCAGAAGTTGACTGAGATCAATATATCCTAACATACCAATTGAGATTACTAGCAAACGAAGTCAGAGGTCCACTTGGTGGGCGAATTCCTAATCCAAGACTTAATATAATCATCACTAAATTAGAAATATCAAAGCCTAGGTTGACTTCCTACCCTCTTGATTGAAAGATTCTTATAAACGTCAAAAATGCCTGATTAATTCTGATTCGATCTTGCTTCTTGGAATCGACTTTCAATAACATCTACAGCTAAAAAATTTCCTAACAGCCTACTTCTGACTTGCCGATCAATTTTAGAAATCACAATAAAATGATCCAAATGCATACATAATAAGATGCCCGTGAATCATGTGCTAACAGTGGGGTAAAGCATTTAAGATTGATAACCAAATCACCTTTTCGTATCATATGCTCCAATTATTGACCAAAATCAATATCACTAAAAAAGATCTATACATACATACTAGTATATATATTTTGAACTTTAATCAAACTCTATAATCAAATGTCATATCCAAGAAGTCAAGAACAAGTCCAACAACAATCAAATTTCTGCCATCTTTGTTCACCATTAAAGCAACTATTAAAACCCACTTAAAATCCAATAAAATTGAAGAAACTAACTTCAACCCAGATTTCCAAATTGCTAAATAACACACCCACATACAAATAATTCAAAATCAATTGAAAAAAAAAACCCAGAAATTTAAAGGGGAGTATATACCTGGGTAAGAGAGGGTTTTGTTTATCAGAGGAAAAAGCAATAAACCCAGAAAGTCCAAGATTAACAGAAAGAGCATCAGGATAAATTGAAGAAAAATGTTGAATCAAATCATCTTTCTTTAAATTTCCCAAAAAATCAGCATTCTTCAGCTCTTCTGGGCACTTAGCTACTTCCTTGTTGAACACTGCTAACATTTTTTCTCTCCTATTTTTTCTTCAAATTTCTTGTTTTTCTGCAATCTTTTTGTGACTTGATCAAATGGGTATTTTCCTGTTTCTTTCCCTGCAATTCTTTTCTATGAATATAAAGAAGATGAAATTGGATTACTAGTAGTTTCCAGATAGATATTTTCTACTCAAAATGCACACAATTAAATGGAGGGTTGAGATCTTCTTAGGATTAGATGTGATGAGACACGTGTAAATTGTAGAGTGATTGTGAAATTTGTTCATCTGCTATTGGTTCTTTTTTCCTGCTGTAATAAAAAAAGACTGCTTCTGTTTTGATGCTCAGTATTTACTGTATTTATAATTTCACAGTAAATCTTGGTATTTGTCCTTTTTATAATTGGGTAAAGTCCCAATGTCTTTAATATCATTAGTTTGTCAGATGCACAAATCTGACATGTATCGTGTATAAACTTTGGTAGTATCGTATTAACACGTCGTTCAACATAATTAACAAACGTGTCTGATGTATGAATTGTAGATTACTCCGTATGATGAAGAATAATAGGCCGATTTTTTTAACAGTTACGCAACTAAAAGGGGCAAAAAGTTATCTTAGACTCTTAGTATCATACAGAGTACCATTTACTCGCCTTTCTTGATTTAAAAATAACTCTGGTTTATTACGAGCATATTGCAATGTTTTTCTGGTTGTCTAGGAAATAAACAAACACGTAATTTTTTTTTTTTTTATTTAACAAGATTCAGAATTAGTACTTCAGTAGCAAACATTTTGGAAGGAAAACCAATAGTTTTGCCGAGAAATGTCCAATCTACAATGGTACATTATTAACAAAAAAAAAAATCATTTATAGACATTTGCAGCAATTATAATGTACATCAACCTGAAGTGATTACCTTAATTTTGCTTTGCTTGCCCATCAAACATCAACATTCTTGAATTCATCCTTCTTCCCTTGATCAGCACATTTACAATCACAAAGGACTGGACCGAGCCGTCTTCCCAGCACCTTATATGATTATTTCCCAAGCTAGGCAGCTTTAGTATTGAGTTTAAGGCTCTCCCTCCACCCTGTAAGTGCTAATACAGGCGAACAATCAATTTCTAACAGAGCACAGCTACTACCATGCATCAATGTCAGTAGCTCTTTCACCCTTAGCAATGTACTAAGATATGTGGCCCGACACAATATCACCAGAAACCACCACAAGAACAACTTCCATGGCGAAAATGGTGAAATCTGCTGGTATCCCTTACGATGATCTCCCTGTCAAAGAAGTCAGATACTAACTTGATAAAAACATGACAATCCCCACATACACGAAGGTTTTTGGTCACTCGAATAGGGGTTCCCTTGGGAGATTCAAGGAGTGCATATGCAATTGCCAACTTCTCACTATGACCATAGAGCATCTTTGTTTTCTCTTCCTCATCAACATTATGCAAAACATACTTAGTTTGAGCAGTGTAATTTCCTTCCCTTTTAACTGTCTCAATAATTTCAGCTAATTTTTCATATATTTGGTCACTCTGAGGGTGGGTCTTGTCCCTCGCCATGAAACTATGGACTTTATCTCTCATCTCTATCCAACTGCAAGCTGGATTTTTCTTCAATCCCCTTTCCTTCATTCTCTCTCGTACTAACTCAACATCATCCCACCTTCCAGTAGCAGCAAAGACATTTGAAACTAACACATAATTTCCTGGATTCCCTGGTTCTGACTCCAACAACTTTCCTGCAGCAATATCTCCCAATTCCTTATTGGAGTGAACATGGCAAGCCCCAAGAAGAGCACACCAAACAACAGCGCCAGGTTCCATAGGCATGCTTTTTACAAACTGATATGCCTCTTTCAGACGGTTTGCTCGGCCTAGGAGGTCAACCACACAGGCATAATGTTCAGGCCATGGCTCTAAGTTATAGTTATCTTTCATAATATCCAGATACTTTTTACCTTCGTCAATCATCCCTGAGTGGCTACATGCATAAAGAAGGGCCAAAAATGTAACATGATCTGGTAGTATATTTTCCATCTCCATCCTGCTAAATAACTCCGTGGCCTCCTTGCCACGGCCATGCATTCCACTAGCATGGATCATACAAGTCCATAAAACTTTATCCTTATCCTTGACAAGATTAAAAACCTTAAATGAGTTCTCTAATGTTCCACATCGTGCATACATATCAACAAGAGAGCTAACCACAGATCCCTCTAGAAGGAAACCTCGCTTGATTAAGAACCCATGGACTTCTTTCCCTTTCTTTAAGGCAGAGAGACTAGCTGCAGCTGAGAGCATGCTGATTAATGTAACAGAATCAGGTTCAATTCCATCTTCTTTCATCATACAGAAAAGGCTAAGAGCTTCATCTCCAAGTCCATTATCAACATAAGCTGAAATCATGCTAGTCCAAGACACAACATCTTTGTTTTCAATCAAATTAAACATACGAGAGGCCAATTCTATATTGTTGCATTCCCCATACGCATCTACAAGCGTATTATTCAACACTAAATCAGAGAGCCCCTTTCTCAAGATATAGCCATGTGTCTCTTTGACATGGTTAAGCCATCGCAGTGAAGTGCAAGCAAGCAGGACACTTCCAATCATCATGGCATCAATTTCCACCCCTTTAGCCTGTACTTCACGGAACACATCCAAGGCTTTAGCATGATAATTGTTCTGAGCATAACCAGCTATAACTGTAGTCCAAGAAATAACATCTCTACTGACCATGCTTCTAAAAACACATTCCATAAATTTTATGTGACAGCATTTGGAATACATATCTATTAAGGAGTTCACGACTTGAATGTCAGCATCTAATCCATTTTTTACAGCATAGGCATGAGCTTCCATTCCATTCAGCAAATTCTTTAACCTTCCAGAAGTTCCAAGGATACTTATCAAAGAGACCTGATCAGCTCTCTGCCCTGCTGCCAGCGTTTCATGAAAGAAGTTAAGAGCCTCACTATAAAGACCATTTTGCACAAAACCTGAGAGCAAAGAATTCCAAGATACGCTATCCTTCTCAGTCATTTTATGGAAGATTTGAGCTGCTTCCCTCATTCTACCACACCTTGCATACATAACAAGCAAAGCATTGGCCACGTAGAGATGCATACGATCATTCGACTTCAAAATTGCAGCATGAATCTCCACCCCTAATCTCTTAAATGGCTCCTCACATGCTTGAAGTGCACAAACATAAGTATAACTATTCATGCTAACACCCGCCTTCTCCATTTCTCTGAACAACATTAACGCTTCCATAGGCTTCCCACTGGCAGAATATGCTGAAATGATTGAATTCCATAATACAACATCATATTTTACTTGAATCCTGTCAAATAATTGCCTTGCACCAACAGTATCCTCACACTTAGCATACATACTCACAAGGGCATTAACAACAAAACCATTGGAATCACACCCAGATTTCACTGCATATCCATGAATTTCAGTCCCTAATCTTATGTCCTTTATCAATCCACAAGCTTTAAGTACACAAGGGAAAGTGAAAGCATCAACATTTACCCCAAAAACCCGCATCGCCCGGTACAATTCAAGTGCTTCCCAAGGCTTCCCATTGGAAACATAAGCACCAAGCATAGCATTCCAAGAGAAAATACTTCTTTGGGGCATTTCATCGAACACTTTCTGTGCATCGAACACCGCCTCACATTTCCCATACAAAAACACAAGCTTAGTTTTCAAAAACACAGAATTTCCATGCCCATTTGATTTTATAACATGGGTATGAATCTGTTGCCCTTCTCTCACAGCCTTCTTCTCTGCACAAAGCTCAAGAACTGATGAATAAGCTTCATCAGAAGATAAATGGGCTTCATTTTGGTGAGACAGATAATTGGTAAGTGATTGAATTGCTTCTTTTAAATTACCCTGTTTGCAAATTTGTTTTAATGATGATGAATTAATGGAGTTTGTCTCAAGTTTAGAGGTTTTGGGAGGAAAGTTAAAATGGGCATTCTTCAACATTTGGTAGTCTGGTAAGGTAGTTGGAGTAGAGGTTATGTGAGAAAGTTGAATTGAAGAAGCCATAGATTAGGAGAGATAGTAAGTTATGGATGTTTTAGTTGAGTTCCAAACATAATGTGATATGTGATATGACATACTTTGTAGTTGTTAGTAGTAGAAAAATTCAACAATTTCTCCGGGAAAACTAATGATTTATTCGTGTTGTGGCCTTCTGCTCAGCCCTCGTGTCTTAAAATTGGCATCGGAAAGTTTAGTCTAAGCACGACCCAAACCTGTGTGGCCATCGTGCTGGGTTATGTCATGCCCGAAGCTGAATTTCACTCATTTTGCCAAGCTTTGTTATCAAAAGTCAAGTTATGCACGGTACCTTATAGTCCTTATCATGTTATACATATCCCAAGTTCCCAACACACACAATAGTGCAATGTAACATTTGTGTTACACAATCGTGCCATGCATTTTCGAGATAGGCTGTGTTGTTTTTTGGCTCAGCCTCGTGCCATCTTTAGTGATAACAGGCTGTGAGGTTATTAAAGGAAAGATGAAAGTATTGAATCTAATGTAAAATTCTACTAAATTTTCGAAGCTGAAATTTCTGTAAATTCAGTGTTTTACAGCAGTGTACAAAGACCTACAAGTCTAAGAAGCCTCAAAGACATTTTGAGTGTGAAAAAAAAAAAAAAAAAAAAAAATGAAGATCCAAAGAGAATGATGCTGGCAAATATAACTTTCCATAATCAAACTCACGAATCATGTTAACTGATCCGCCGCTTCGTCCCTTCTAACCCTCAAAAACAGGGAAGAAAGGGAAACAAAAACACTATACAATTGATTACACACAGCCCCTAATTAATCTATTTACATCCAACATTTAGTATATAAGTGACAATATCCCTCAAACCTGAAGACCGCCCTCCACCATGTCCCTTGAGCATCAAGCACATCCACTTTATGTCCCAACTATGTCAGCAGTCTCAATGACATGCACTCAATTACCAAAACCTCGTGCGAATACCGCACTTTTACAATTACAGCCCACGAGAGCCCTGTTGTCATGCTTCTTCGGTCCTACCTTGCGGATAGGCCCATTAAAACCTTAGCAAGGTTCTATTGGCAAACCAATTGTAGCCTCAAGACCTTACTAAGGGCTGCAAAACAGTCAAGTATACCAATATCTATAATTCATCATCAACCGTGACTAGATGAACCCTTCAAGCTATCTCCTGGCAATGTCCATGATAGCAGATGTCCAGCAGAGTCACCACTCAATAATTGCTTCAGATCAGTTGTCAGATGAAGTGCAGTAACAGGATGCTTATGAGACTTGAGTACCTTGTGAAGAATCAATCTGTATTCTGGTGCTTTTGCAAGAGCCAAGCCAGCTGTCCCATTGGCAGTCGGCTTGATCTGGGCACTTTCCTTGTCGGTATTGTGAACCATTTTCCACACCTTGACAGCCCCACTCTGATGGCCTGTTACATACCAGTTGATGTCCTGCCAATCAGACGACATTGAGCTTGCCACTGACAAAATATAATCAGACGGAAGCTGAGAGGTATTGATCACTGCAAGGCAATCACCATTGACGCTCCAGATAGCAAGCAAAACCCCAGCTGCAGTTATGATATCACCTGTTAAGTCATTGACATAAACTGCTGAGACAGGTGATGGGAACTCCGGGAGTTGCCTTACAAAAGCTAATGAGCTCAGGTCCCACAGAATAACAGTAAAATCATCTGAACCACTGACAACCAACATGTAAGGTTGGCTCACATAAAGGCATGACACCTTGGCTGAGTGAGCACAGAGTGCCTTCTCCAATTGCAAGCGCCGTACTCGGCGAGGGCTGTCCTTTTGAATTCTCCAAACTGAAACCAATCCATCATCAGCCCCAGTAACCACAGTCTGACCATCATGGGTGACACTTACACACTGAATTTGGCTTCCTCCATGAAGATTCTCATGTGTTGATAGGAGTTTATCTTGATCGTAGCTCATAAATCTCAGGCTACGGTCAGGAAAACCCCAAGCTACATACTTTGCATATGTTTGGGGTTTAAGCACATGATTTGCTCCAGCTACTAGAATTTTGTCATTAATGGTGACAATCTGAGAAATGGAAGATGAGGTCTTTCGTACATCATGAGGAACAAGATTGATAGAGTATTTTAGAGGGTGAGGCGGCTTTCTGTCAACCTTCCTCTTCACATGGGGTTTTTGGAATAGTTGTTTAGGAGTCTGTCCAAAGTGATTGATTTGTGCGAGAATAGAAGCTTTCATAGAAGGGTCTGTAACAGAATCTATGTCCACACTCCCTTCGTATGTGTAATGATAGAAAACATTTGCAGCGTCTTCAGCAGCCTATAAATTACACAAGAAAAACATGTGTTAAGAGAAGCACATAGTAACTTATCAAACCAAAGAAGCTAACAGAGGAAAGGTATGAAGTACAATCAACAAGAACAATAAGGCCAAGAACTTAAGCATAGCATCAATCTTATATTGTTGATGGTTGTAATAATCTTTAAATATCAGCAAAGGGTTAAAATACAAGTCACAAAAAGTGAACTGTTGACACTTCCAGGTCATCTGAATTGAAGACACACTATAGGATAGAAATTAAAGTAGGAAAGCAGCTTGTATGTTCAATTTCCGAGATACGATATTCAACAAGGTGACTTCTACAAAGACTTTGTGTCCACAATCAAATGTTTGCAACACAGTAGACCAAATCATTCAAGAATAATTTGACAAAAATGATGGCTTGGAACTGGAAATAATGAATACACAATCCTACATTTAGTTAACATTGCACTCTCTTTGTCCTGAAATTCATCTAACTCCTTACTGATCAAGTCAAAAGAGATAGAAATGAATTCACTCTTGAACTTCTTCTACTATCAATAATTACCTCCTTGAAAAGTCAATTTATGAATTTCATCAACCTATGTATTAAACAATACCAACAGTTGATCTAAGTTAACATACTAAAGCCAAAAAGTTATCACAACTTTTACTTTTTCCTAGATGATTCAAGGAGTCGGGGTACACGTTATTCTCATTTAGACTACAGCTAAACATCTTACGAAAATTCCATATTTCTCTTCTTGAACCAAATGCTTGATCAGTATAAATTCCACGAATGACAAATTTGAAAACCACTCACACAATATAATCCAGGGCAAGGAAAGAGAGGGGGAAAACCGGAAAATTAAAAGGGAAAAGGGGGCTAAAGGATGCAAAAAATAAATTAATGGTGTCCGGGGTTGCAGAAAGATAAGAAAATGCTAAAATGCATCACCTAACTGCAGGATGTTTACCAATCCTCTTTACAATGTTTAGGGCATTTAATAAAATTTTATAAAAAAAAATAACAATATCATCTAAAAGGCCAAAAAAAAAAATTATCACCAACCTTGCCCCTTTGCTTGTGCCCAAATATCAAGTCGATCCAGTGATGTAGATTTTCAGAAACATAATCACATTCAAGTGCTTCCCTATGCCTTCTGATGAATTCCCTGGCACTGCCTTTTGCCCATGGAGGTAGAACGACATCTCCAACCTGTTGGAAACCAATTGAAACCATGAAGCCAATACTTCCAACCCTATGTTGTGTCAATCAGGGAAGGGGAAAGGTGCTTATGAATTCAAACGTGCATTTTTCTAAACCAACAATGAAAGGGAAAAAAAAAAAAAAAAAAAAAGGCAAACCTTTTCCCCAGACTGTTTCTCCCCTAGGTCAAGATTGAATCTATTCTCAATGAACTCAGGCATATAGAAGAATTCTGGTATCAACTCCTTCACATCAGATGTATTTCCTTTCCCAGCAGCACTACCCCATGTGTCCCGGATACTATTAAATAGACGATCAGCATGATCAAACTGCCCACCTTGGAGCTTTTGATTTTCAGCACTAAACGGAGGCAAGCGTACAAGATAGAAGAGAACAATTCCAGCACTAGAATAATGGGAGCCATAATGAAATTTTGGAACCTCAGGATCATCCCAGCTCTCATACCTATGAGGAGAAACAATATTTACTGTTAAGATACCTTTACAGGATATTTGTTTCAACAATATCCAGTCAATTACTCAAATTAGAAGTAGCACACCAGAAAGCATAAAATCATAACGGACAAGAACAAACCTCTTTCTAAACTCCTCTTCCCCTTCAGAACTTTGACAGCCCATAGGTTTGTCAAGTTTGCGAAACGTGCTGGGATTTGTTAAATCTAGATCTTCACTCTCATAATCAGCAAGGACCCATGGAAAGACGGGATACTGAGTAAGATCACTATATCCACGTCCTGCCAAAGTATTCAGGTGCATGAGATATTGAAAATTGCTAATTTCTCCATTTTGCCATCTCTTAGAAAAGGATTTAGCCATAAGCTTGAAAAGACGGCTACCCTCGTTGCTTTCTTGTTTGGTTGCTCCCGAAATAGTTGTGTCCAACCTGTTGAAAATAATCAATGTCTATCAAATCATCTAGGGAGAAAAAGAAAAAAAAAAAAAAAAAGATTCCAACAAACTTTAATTATTATAGGAATGTATCTATAGATCTGGTAATTTATTGATGTAAATATAAATCTCATACTAAGTCAGTTACATCTCTATAAGTGCTGTATTACTGAAATAGAATTGTTGATGTTGAGACGGCTAATTTAAAAAAAAATGAGTTATATGTTTGCAAAACAAATAAATAAAATAGTGAAAGAAAGGATTGTCGGATTTCGGATATTTGGTAATATCCACTCCACAAATTTTGGATATCTGAAATCTACAGATAGGATACGGATGTATGATCTGTAATCTTCAGATAGGATACGGATGTATGATCTGAAATCATATTTCTTATCGGGTTGCGGACCTATGCTCAGTCATGGCACAATTTTAGCATGGGAATTCATATTACTAAGACCCATGGCAGAGTCATTGCATAAGCCATCATTTAATGTAAGTTGTATACAATCTTCCCACCCTTGAACACAAAACAAAGCAACTAAGAGTTTGGGACTTACATGCTATTTCTTGGTAGATTCATGGCAACCAAATTTTTGAAAACCTCTTCCCTCTCCTTCTTGTGGAAAACCAGTAGGTCATTACAACCATCCATGCTAAATATTTCAATGGCAACTGGACGCAGCTGGTAATCACGCTTCAATATTTCATGTACACTATTAAGCTTCCACATACGCCAGGGATGTGGCAAAGTACCACTAGCACAGACTTTCTCCTTTCCCCAAGCACCTCCATTGTAAGCCCAGGCCCTTCCCCCTGTACAGGTTTTGGCAGCAGCAGCCCATGAAGATGTCGATTTGGACTGAAAATCCATAAACGTTGTATCCTTCTTCACTCCTAACGCCTGATCTATAATAGACAGTTCATCTTCAGAGTCTTTCTCACATATGCACCCAGATCCATCGATATAAAAGTTCTCAATGACATACAAGCAGAGTTCTCCGATCAGAAAGATACCATCGTGTTTGTCAAGACCAACAACTCTCTCACAATTATATCTGAACCGTATCTTCTCAAGGGGTTCCAAGTAAGGTCTAATGAGATACTCCCCATTGTCCAATAACTCTTTATCTGATTTTTCCTCTGAAAGTCTAACATCATCAGTTCTCATTGAAGAAGACACTCCGGCAGATTCCAACTCCGATCGGCCTTGTATGCTGTCAGAAACAGGACCAGATACTGCACTAGACCTTGTACCAAACTCAACTGCAGAATGAAGACTTGCTTCATTGACACTGCTGGCACGATCATCAACCAATGCTGCTCTGGCAGAAGAAACTTCTCTAACATCATCAGAATCTTTAACAGATAACTCATCATATAGCTCACCCTCTAAACTCAATTGCTGGGAACCATCCGCTAAGAGTTGAGAGAAAGAGCCTGAACCAGAGTCAGAAGCATCAAGAGCATTCTCAGGTCTCTCTTTAGACAAGTCTGCCTTTCCAAAGTCAAATTGCCAATCTAACACATTCTGAATGGTATCAACTTTTAGTTTGCAACGCTCAAGCTTTTTCCGCATTCGGTATGGACCTTCAATGGGGCAAAGCTGCCACTCGGGCTCACCTGACTCAGGAGTCTTACGTGTTGGAAATATGCCTCGCTCATGCACAAGTTGCTGAAGATGAGTTTGCCACTCACTCTCAGCATGGAGGACCCATCCATACTTATCTTGACGCACAACACGCAATTCTGTTGACATGGCATCTCGAACTAGTTCAAGTGCATATCTACGTTCTGTTATTTGCTCCCAGTGCTTTACGTCTGATCTTGCCAACTCCTTTGATTTCTTGATCAAATCATTACCACGATGACTCTCCATTGATTTGATTCTTATTCCAGGAAACTTTGAAGATCCTGCAATAGACTGCACCCACATAAGCCCAGCACCCTGCTCCAAAACTTTGTTGACAGTGTGTTGAGAGCTTTGAAGCCACTCAAAAAAACTTGATAAGCTCCCAGTCAAGAGTTTATCAAAGCCTCCACGCAATACATCCAGACGATTCGACTTTGATACAAGCAAGTCTTCAAAAGAACCTCTACGATGAACTAATAGATACTTAAGGATATCTATTGCCAAATTCTTAACATTTGGTCTTTGGTCATGAAGAAGAGATATCAAGTTAACACACAGACACGAGTTCAGTTCCGCATCTACATTACTTGGGCAGAAGACAATTCGTATATGCGCATCCAACAGTTGCAAGACAGTGCAAATATCAATCCCAGTTCCATCTTGATTGGAGGTTGATATTTGTTTCATCTTATTCAAGTTTGATATTCCTAAGGAAGAAAGAAGTTCATCTTCCCCGATGGTAACCAAAAATGACGGAAGAAAGCAATACAATATCATCCTATTTGTGTTTTTAAGGATTGCAGTGATGTATGGATCAAGTTGCCTACTTCCTCTACCAATAGACAATAAGCCTTTTGCAGCAGAATATGCTTCTTCAATTCGGCCGTCTTTGTTAGCCAGTTGCAGCATCGAAAGCAAGAATTCCAACGTTCTCAAAACCCCAGTAGGTCTCGGAAAAGCACCCATGTAGACACGATCAACTATCATGCCACATAATACATCTAAATTTGATGACCAGCGATTCTTATCCAATTTTTTAGAATTCTCTTCATCATCACGCAGAAGACGTCTTTCCAGAAAGTTCATAACTCTACTAAGGCAAAGACCCTGAAAAACTAACACAGCTTCAGAGTCAGCATATAACGGAACATTCTCCAGAATCCGTTCCACCATGGGCACGGCTTTTAGCTGGTCGGTCAGAACTTCAGAAAGAACCTCAGCCAAACAATCCAATATAGCAGTAGCACCTGCAGCGCACGGTCCCCCACCATATCCAGAATCATCAATTTCAAGCAGGAGCTTTGAACTTATTAAAAAAAATGAGCTTTCAGCAGATGGTCCACGAGGACTGAATTTAATTGAATCACTTTCACCCATCGAGTTTGAAGAAACCAGGGATGCATTCACAGTAACATGAGGTTCAGAAGCGAGTGCAACACCAGGGAACCCACCAGATGTTGGTCCCAACTTGGAGCCAGATTTCTCAGATAGTATAGGAGAATTAGGCATTGCAAAAGATGTGGAGCTCTGAGAATCTGTATGGATATTCGTATTCAGCGTGGTTCTTATGTTCTGGACATTGACATCAATGATACTGGAGGGGGTCATGGATGACTTGTCAATGGCTTCGTCATCTAGGTTCTGAACAGCTGGGGGTTGATCTTGAGTCACTAATTTTACTTTGGGCTCATTTAATAATACACTAAAATCATCATGTACGACAGTTTTGCCATTCATTGGAAGAGGTATATCTTCCGAGCTTGTGCTGACCTGTCCTTGAGGGAAGCTTCCACCACTTATCGATGTCTTTCCAGACAGATCTTGATCCTGGGGCAAACTAGAGAATGTATTCTGAGAGCTATTGGAATCTTCAAAATCATTGGCATTCTTCTCCTCTGTTTTAACAGAAAGTTCTCTTGCAAGCTTAACTGCATAAGAAGCCCTGCAAATCCAGCCAAATCTCCTAATTCATGTGTGACCCTCTAAAATATAAAAATAATAATAAAGATAATCTGTACAACTACTGAAAGGGTATCCTCCACATATACAGTGACATACACAATATAAATGCATGAGAAGAGACAAAAGCATACCTCACACAGGAAAAATATAGCTCAACACAGTTTTCAAGAAATTCTGTTCGCCTGCAAACACTAGCAAACGAAGGACACATTTTTGCCAAATCAACCATAAACCTTAAGATTGAAGTTGCAGCAGCAGGGGCTGAAGCTTCCCCACCCATCAAGCGTGCGGCATATGTCTTATGCATTAAAGCTTCACCCTGAAGTTCCCCAATCATATCAGAATTTTCCTCCGCTAATTCAGCAACAAGACTAGGACCAATCTGTGAAAAACTACCGGTTTGGTGAGCAAGCATTGATTGCTTACTTAACCGATCGAATGTAGATTTTTCCATAGCAATAACAGATTCCAGTAATTCAACAAATTTTAACTCGCTATGATCCCCATCACTAGGCACCAAAGCGTGAAAGTCCAGCATACGAACTTCTGGTAATCTGGGGTAAACCGGCTTGCCAAACATCAAGCAGAAGAGAATATAATATATGTCTGGTGAATCATAGAAACTCGGAAGCACACGTGTTAGTCCTGGATAGCCTCCACTTGTCTTGAATTTAAGAGCAAATGTCGGGGAAGATGTCAGACAAACACCAAGAAGTGTCATAATCCAACGCATACTCGATGGATGAACAGCCTCGTCAAGGAAATATGTAATTATCCTAGACGATACCACTCTATGCCACTGCTCAAGCAACTCTTCAGATTTTATGGTCACTTGTAGATCTATGAGCATTTCCAACAACATATTACGCACAATGACATGCTTCCCCATTGGCTCCCGTACAACCACTGGGCGACTAGTCAGCTGAGGAGGATCAAACGTCATAATCACAAACCTTACCACATTTTCTAGTTCAGAAGCAAGAAACCCATCTTCCAGAATGACTCCAAGCAACACAACTAATTTTTCTAAAACAGGCACCTCAACATCACCTCTCTGTAGAGTAACCAGCAAATGCTGCACAAGATTGAGTCGTCGAAGAACAGTAAGATTATGATATCTGTACCAATGGATGGATACCAGATGCTCAAGAAAGTTCAGCAGTGCAATCTGGATAGAAACTTGTGCAGTCACCCAAAGTGTCCAGTCCAACAACACATGCTCAACCATATCAGCATTAGAAAGGACAATACAATTTGAATTCTCAGCAGGCATGTCAGCTGTCTCGAGCTCTGATATATGATTAAATGCATCTTTCTGCGCAGAGAAATCATCCATGTCCCCATGAGATCCTAGTGAAGAAAACTCATCCCGGAACTTGGACAAATTGAGCTCCTCAAAGCTGGCCTCAGGAGCACTTGTTACAGGAGATAAGCTAAAATGAGAACCCCCCACCTTCTTTGGTTCAGAGAATGAAGCCTCACAAGCAGCAATTTTGAAAAAAATCTCAAGACAGTGCATGTCAAACAGTGACATTCTCCGGTACAGAAACAGGGACAGTAAATGATACCCCGGCAAGCTTGCATTTCTCTCACGTTTTGTGGATTTTGATGCAGAGCACACGAAAGAAGAGTCAATGCCATGTGTAACATATCCCTGCTTTCAGCAGCCTCAACCAGAGCAAGGACTGAAACCATTCCCCCAATTGGGTGGATGATATCACCAATGACACAAGGCTTACAGACATAGATGTCACCTTGAAGACGTCCAAAACGTGGAATACCTGCCATATAATTTTAAAAATAGAGAAAAAAGTAAGAAATCTCTATAAAATAAACAATTGACAAATTATGAAGGAACTGAAATTCACAAATTAAGACTAATTTATATACCCCCTATTGGAGAAGCAGCAGCTGATGTAGGATCAACAAGATTAAGCAGTGATAGAGTCCCAGATGCTCGAAGAGGTTCTGTAGATGTCCCGTCGAATGCAAAAATTAATTTCTTCCCAGATAGCTGAAAGGATAGGTTTCCAAGACGTTCCAAGTCCCAAACAATCCCGCTTCCATCTGCCCTTGAGATGCCAGGCTTAACAGAATTGTCAGGCTTTTGTGTTGCAGCCACAGTATTCACATCAGCCTCCAATGAATCTAGTATGGCCATGCTATCCCCGCCACAAGCTTGATTGGGAACAAACTGCAAAAGGTCTGTATCTTGAAAAAGGCCTCTATAACCTCTACCAAGAATATACATGAAACATATACAACCAGAGGTAAGCACTTCTTCAAAAAGATAGCAACTTCGTAGCTTCCACTGAAGTTCACTAACTCTTGCATGAGTGGCTGGTGTACCTATTGTTATCTGCAAAGTTTTTCCAACCGGAGATGGAGAATATCCAAGTTTTCCCGTGTATCTCAGTTTCCCATTTAGATATACATAGGCAATACTTGCTTGGAACAAACCAGCCAAAGCATTTGGTTTGCTATGAACCACAGCAAGATGATGCCACCGACCTTCCTCCAAGTCTGAACCAGAAAATGATAGTGAGGATGAATTGCTTGTTGCAAGAGTAAGAACTCCATCCTCTTGGAGATATAGTTCTGCGTAAAATGTATTTCCGCTATCTACAGTTCCAACAGAAAACAATCTCAAAACCTGTTGCTGCTGTCCAGAAGAATTTAGCTTCCTAGGTCCAATTTTGGATTCAGTATCCTTAGCCGATGACTTTAAGAAATTCTTAAACTGAAACCAGCAAACAAAGGAATAACCGGCCACCGGAGGCCATGATCTTTCCCCGAGAGAGACTTGTATACAAGCATGACCCACTTTGCTCATGTCCATCTCAACAAAGGGAGCCAAAGAAACACTTTCTGAAGCCATGTCCTCCATGATTATTAATCTTTCCATCATGCTAACAAGACCATCACCTGAATTCTTATTCCTCAACTGAAGAACATATCGGACAAGTAATCGAAGTTCTGATGTAGACAGCCTAGACATGAAAAAAGAATTTCATAAATTCTCTGGGAGAAGAAAGTCAAATTGTCAAACAAGGCATCAAGCACCGTATAGGATACAAAATGTAAGTTTCTCTACCTATATGCACCCAGAACTTCAACAATCCTCAAAGCATGTACAAGTAAGGGTGATGAGCCTTGAAGGAAGGGGTGAATCATCTCCAAAAGAAGTTCCACACAGCCTAAGAGCATGTAGAAAAAAAATTACAAAATTGTAAACAGAAGAATGAACAAAGATAAGTCAAAGACAATTATGATTCCTACCAACAGATGTAAGGTTTTCCTGATTAAAAGGTCCAGCACGAGCAAGCTTTTCAATAAGCTCCAGAACCTCTAATTGAAACTTAGGAGTAAATAGCAGCAAGGACCGCAAAATTACTCGGACAGCACCAGCATTATACACCCTCTCCATTGCAGGATTGACATCACCAGAGGGAGTAGTCAAAACAAAAATGGATGATTCAACCTCACCAGAAGAAGTATCACCTCCATAAGGCAAAAAAGGGGAAATAACTATTTCAAGAGCAAGCTCCATTAACAAATGTACAACTTGCCTCTCAAAATCCACACACAGCAATCCTGACTCACATAAGAGATCATAGAATGTATGTGATGATACTATTAAGTGCAACTTTGTTCTATTAATAGGATTGTCACAAACTGCTACAGTCACAACACGCAGTAAGTATGTCAGAACCTTAACAAAAACAACTAATTGAGACTGGTCTGTCTGCTCTTCATCACTCTGGAAACTATGTAAAGTAGTCAATAGCAAAGAGAACCCAGTTGCTTCACCAAACACTCTTTGAGCTGAATTATTAACACCTAAGATGCGCCAAAGGGCTCCAAAAATGTCACACTTGGCATCATCATGCAGCTTGTATTGAGATCCTGAAACACTAGTAACCATTCCACTTTTCATAACCTCAAGCAGCACTCCCAATTCTTCAGCATGAGCCTAGTAACAGAAAGTCAACAGTCATCAGTTCACAATCTAGCCAAGCACAGCATAAACACAGAGCTTCTGTTTTAACTACTAAATATATACAAGCTCAAAATGAAAAGGCGAAGGGACATCAAAAGACCAGCAACAAAAATAATCTCTTAGATTGCATTCAACACATTTGTATTAGATGTGAAAATACTACAAACCTGAGTTACATCCTCCATAATCAAGCATGACAATGATCGAAGCACCCCAGAACGATGAACATCAGAAACTAAAAGAGGAAGAACAACAGCAACACCATTGGCCGATCGGAAAGAGGATTGATTAGCCTCTGCCTTCTTCAGCAAAGAAACCATACAATCCCAAGCAATAGAGATAGTAACCTCAACTTCAAATAGAAGGAACTTTCCTGAACCAGAGTCCATGAGTTTAGGTGATGTGATAATAGCATCTTTACTGTCCAAATGTTTCTGGAAGCCACTTTGGCTGGATTTCTTCTCCACGGGGTTTATTTCACCATTTTGCTGGTCAGGTCCTGACTGAAGCTTGTTGTGCTTCAAATCGTCTAACAAAACTTCAAGTACACCAACTTCTCGCAGCACTTTCTTATACTGCTGATCAAAAGACAGCAGCTTGACAAAGAAAGAAAGAATTGTTTGCTTCAAATCAGATGTAATTGGTTGCTGTAGTAGACAGCAAAGTGACAACAACTCCTGCTCAGGAATACAATTCACAACAGTGACAGCATATTCAAGTATCTTTAATATAATGTCTTGCAAAGCAGGTGGGAAGCCAGACATATTCAGGATGAAAAGTGGCACAGTCCGCAACTGCTGACACATTTGATAGTTCTCAATATGACTAGAAAATATCTTAAACATCCGATTTAACACTTCTGCCTGCAACTCTGTGCAGCCAGCCTTAAGAAATATATCCTGCAGCATCTGCACTGCTTCGAGGTCTTTTACTTTAGCATTTCCTTTCTCCCAAATTTCATCAGTAATTAAGTCCAATGACGGTGTACGACTCCGGCCATGACCACCACCTTTGGCATGGGATGCTTTAGAACTTCTAGCTGCAGGTGGTTCTGATGGACCTGTCTGAGCTAAATTAACAAGAACATCCAGCAACCTAGAAAGTGCAGGCGAAAGATTTGAGATTCTTCCATCTCCGCTGTCATTAACTTCCTGTTTTCTTGAATTGACAGTTGCAAGAGAGGCATCCACAGCTGAACTATCAGAAGAAGACTGGTTTGGAGGCATGGAAGCCAGTGTTAAAGCAAACTGAACTAGGAAGTGATACCCATGAGCATTATGTATATCCTCCCTAAGTTTTACACCTCCAGCCTCTGCAAGTCAATGAACATTATCAGAATGAATATTTACATAAAGCTGATGTCGTAGTACTGAAAAGAAACCGTAGATTGAGAGTAGGAATGATAATAATCCCTCCGTCCCAAGAAAACTTCTCATTTCTCTCTCACTGCTTGTCCCAAAACAATGTTTCCTTTTCTACCTTTATCTTATTAAATCATTTTCTCTCTACTCCCTCACAGCATTATGGTCTTCACTTTCTATCACATAATTTTTAATCCACTTGTACTTAACAAAACCTCCAACAAACACTCTCCTAAAACTATGTACCCATGGGAAATGGGAAGTTTTGTGAGATTGAGGGACAGAGGAAGCAAATCTAAAGAGAATGTTAATTCCATAGATAGCATTAACCTACATATGAAGGATTAAAGAGAACTATCGATGCTTATAAGAATGCCAGAACAAAAGAAAATAGTCTTTTACCAGGCCTATGGGAAAGCTCAATGCATTCCAGCAACAAATCCACGATGCCTATTGTGTAAGAAGGATCTCCAAAACGAGGATTGAAATCCTTAATGGCCATTAGAAGAGCTCTTATCTGCAACATGGAACAATAAAAAGCATTATAATACAGATGGATGGTGTTCTCCTTATCTAAACTTAGCAGCCCAAAACTTATGACATGATTTTATTAGTCTTGAACTTACCCAAACTATTTAGCACTGAACTTATATTATCTTTAGATATTAATTACTAGACCTGAAATAAGTGAAAATTAATCATGGGCTGGGATGGATTGGCCTTAGGCCTAAAAAAAAGTCCAATTTAACCCTAAGTGGCAAGTCTGTTCCGTAGTCTAAACATTGATGGCCAAGGTGCGGATTCTTTTTATGCGCTTCAGGCCCAAGATTTCTGTACAAACCCGCAATTTTTGTGGGCCGAACTATGTATGATCAGCATTAAAACAAACTGAAAAAGCACAGAAGCAAACTGTAAATAAAACTTAATTAAACCAGAAAACATCTTTGTAAGCCCTGCAGTAAATATAAAATATTCCTAAATATTATACAAATTCTAGCTAATAACTTGACTCTTGAAAGCTATTGTTATCAAATTGGAAGCTACAAAAACAAGTTTAAAAGTAAAAAAGGAAAAATCTGATAGAGCACTGATTAGTTGTGTGCACTGTTGGTCACTGTCAAATTGATATAGCCAAGAAACATCATCTGCTGAGCATAAACCAGGATGGAACCTTGAACAGCCTAGTTTGTTTTATTTAGATGATTTGGCATATCAATCAGAAATTCACAATAGACATCTCTAGCTATTCTTTCAAATAAACAACACTGCAGTCTCGGAATAGCAATGAAAGTTCTGAGACCTTAAACAAACATCTTCACAATCACAGGAAGACGCTATCATTTAAGCATCTATCTTCAATGAAATGACTTATTACTCCATCAAAAAGAAAAAAAAAAAATTATATATATATATATATATATATATATATATATATATATATATATATATAACATCTAAGCCATTGACATCTTGTTACAGCATCAAAATAACAGAGACTGAAACATGTTTCATTATACAGCATACCAGGTGATGTTTTCGAATATATTTGGCCGTACTTCCGTTGTCATTCACTAAAAGCAGATTTAGAATCTGCAGTAAGAAAAATGAGCTTCAGAAACCCTTTTAAGGCAATAGAAGTTAGTATATGTGATCGATTAAAAAAAGGGTAAATGATGTCAAGCTTGGACTTGCCTGCATTGCATGCCTGTGTAGCTGAATGGAATGCAAGGGAACAAGACCATCTCTATATTGCATAAAAACAGCCAATGAACCATTGACAACCATTTGAAAAAGTAACTGCAGTGAATCATCCTCAATCAAACTTTGAGCCGCACAAGGGTGGCTCGCTAATGCCTTCATGATGTGCACAACACTTCCTTCAACCTACAATAATAAATGACACAACTCAACGATCTGCATTGCTTTCATATACAACAAAATCCTATTGACATTTTCCAGTAACAGAAGTAAAATAACAATCGGAACCTGCAAAGATTTCAATGCAGCAGTGCACAGTAAACCAATTTTTCACGAAATACTATGATAAAGACAACTAACTTAAACTTCCACCTTCCAAGTAGAAGATCAACATTAATTAAAGATAAGAATAGATTGACAACATTAACCAAAACCAAATTCACCAACATTTCCTAGAATTAATGAGATGCCTCATACTTTCATGCAGATCCATGTTTTGCATAATTACATTTCGAGCAAATATTGGTTTCTAAGTAGCTTCTAATAATCTTGCGGTCTTGCCCTTGGAATGAAAAATTGGTGTCAATAAGTAGCTTCTAACAACCATATTTCCCATAATCTTACCCCTGATATAGTCATATAGGTATTTGGGCGAATTATGTAGGTGTAATTAGCAACCACGAATGACAGTTGGTTCACATCTACTTAATTCCTGTACATCAATCCTCTAAAATCACTTGTATTAATAAGCAGGAGAAATCAAACAAATTCATGGACTCTTATAATTTATAATGATGTCGAGAAAGAGCTAAAAGCAGACCTAATATTTACAGCATTCAAACATTCTTACCAAAAGCCTCACAGCATTAGCCACATAAGCTCTTAAACAAAAATTTTGAAGTATGAGACTCAAATACAAAAATATTAAATAACAGGAACTATTGGCAAACAATGTCTTTTCCTTGTGCACTCTCATTAATTATACATGATAATACAGCTTTTATCTACCATTGACAATTTCTCAACTTCTTCCTAAAAAAGGTTGATCTTTTCTTTCTCAACTATTTCTCCACTCGCTTCATTAGTTTTTCAAATACAATTTATAAGAAACTCCATTATGAAAACTACAAAGCCAAAATTGTCTCATATCTCCTCTTTTTTTGTTTTTTTGTAACGCTTTTGGTTTTCATAGGTTTCTTTTTGTATGTTACACCATTACAATTTTACTTTTTTCATAATATTTTTGACAAACTTTTTACTCACACCTTACCCTTCCTACACCACACAAATACCACGTGTGCAACTCTTTCTCCTACCAAACCCAACATGCAACACTCTCTCTCCTACCTACCTCGAACTTTGATTCTACCATGTGTAACCAAGAAAAAGGAATGAAAGGAGTTGATATCTTTAACTCCTTCAGCAACACATCTTCTTTTTTTTTAATACCATTAACATTTAGTATGACTAAATTTAATACATAAGTACTGGAGTAGTTGATGATACAAATATAATGAGTGCAAAATATTCTATATGCCATACAACTCGTGAGCTGCATGAGTTAAAATAAATGTAAACATGCGACTCACCTCCAGCTGACGAGTACGAAGACCACCAGCATCTACATGGTCGCTAACTAATTGTTTATCATGATCAGAATTCCTTTGACCAATATTTCCTCCACTGGATCCCAGGAGAGCATTTAAAATATGAATAAGACAGCAAAGAATTCCAGAATCAAGGAGAGACTGCTTATCAATCGGCTGCAATTATCAAATCGTAGGACATGTGAGTAGAATGAATCAACATTACATCAATTTTTTTTATTATTGACAGCTATTAAAGGAGGGAAAGAACCGTCATCAAAGTATATAGCCTAACAGCCAGCACATGCCTAATTGAATCATAATGACTTGATCACTAATTCACTAGATTATCTATTTGATAATAAGTTTAGAAAAACCATTTTTGTGTCATACAAATTAAGGTCCAATTTGGAAGCAGCTTGACACAGAAACACTAACCAGAGTAGCACTCTGCGAAAATACAAAATCAACATTCTGCCAGATTGGCCAATAATATAAAAATAAGAAGTTAATCTAAAGGCCAATACAATATATTTGCCTCATTAAATCCCCAAGCATTTGAATTAAGTCAAGAATACACATCCACTGCCCAACACAGACAAGTATTGGAGGTATAGCTTAGCTTGAAGTTCAAAGGCAGCAAGGCTCATAAAGGGTATCAGCATCTTCAAATCATCTGGACTCTATCAATGGTCCTCCCCTAATACTACATAGAGAAAATTCTGCAATTTTTATGGATGAGGGATTTTGGAGAGAAAGAAAAGAGAGGTCAAAGAGAGTAAGGGACCAATTTGTCATTGTTTGGATGTTAAGAAGGGCAAGGAAGTGAATGGAATAGAAAAAATCCATTTTCCTTCCCTCTATTGTGAACTTAATTATTTCCTTTCCTCTTATTCCCATCCCTTCTTATCACTTCCCTTTCTTTCCCCTTCCCTGTGAAATTACTATCCAAAAACATGGAAAATGAGATGAGTACTTATTTACTACCTAGGTTTCACAATAGATGCAAATTGCACAATTCATTTGCTAACTTTGACTACATTTATTACATCTATAAATAAAAATCATATATTTATATGTAAAATTTTGTTAGATTGGTCTCAATGTATATTTTTGAAATAGTAGTATAATTTTATAGAAACTTTATTAATTAATGTATACATAAATTAATGCCTTAATGGTCAAAGTAGCGTGTTGGAAAGTGAATAAGTCAAACCAGTGCATCTATTGTGAAGCGGAGGTAGTATGTCATCAAACAAACAACAGAAATGAAGAAAACCACACAACAAGAACAAGGTGAGCATTTAATGCCAATTGTATTTTGCAAGTTAAAAAAAAATAAAATCTTTGTCCAGGAGAGTCCATGATCAGGAAAACTAAAATTTCATATTTCCAGTCAAAATAAAAACCATAATGCAACAAATTATATAATAAAGTAGACAAGGCAGAAATTAAACTTTAGTTTCTTACTAGGATAGTAAAGAACATACCCCAGATATAAGAAGTTCAATTGCACTTAGAAGATTTGCGCCAGGGCATATGCCATCCTAAATTCGAGATTGCAAGACAGATGAGATTACATCACAGCACAAAAAGATCAGTCACCAGAAACTATATTCATCATAAAGAAGAACAGACCTTTGTAACCTCTGCAAAAAAACGTAATACTTCCTCTACAACTAATGATCTCGCTTTGTTGCTAATTTTTAGTTTCTCAATATCTGTAACAAAAGCCCTTCCTACCACGAAAGAGAAGATATGTGTTTCAACTAACCTGTGAACAAAATCAGAAAATCAAAATTAGTTACTAGGTTATCTACAAGAAATTTGTCAGTCTCAAGTAAAGAAAGGATTATACCAAAAATAAATACAAACATATGAATTCAGTGTAGATAAGATATAGGCTTAAATTTTTCTTAAAACATAATAGGTCTAAGGACAATGAAGGAGAGGTTAGGTACACCGTACATAGTAACTAACTGTGCTACATCGGCAAGCTGCTTTGCTAATTTACAGAATGCATCGACAGCCATGTTCAAGGCCGTTTCCTTTTCCTACAAGACAAATAACATGTAAGCATATTTAACTACATTGGAAAAGACAATTTTTTCCAGAGCAATTCTAGAGCCGTTCAAAATTATAAGATACCTTCTCCGAACTTGAAGAGCGAAACTCTTCCCATAATCTCTTGAAGTCACTCTCGAGCTCATGTCTGTCCCTGAAATTGCAATAGAATTTTTTTACCCTTTTTACAAGTAACTATGTTAGATAACACTTTTCAGCTTTTTAAGCCTGAGAAGGAGATTATCTAATTTTGGCAATTCATCGGTTTATCAACCCAATTAGCTAATGATCAGCTTAACAAAAGCAAACACTTCATGCTGACCTTCCAAGTAAAGGAGTCATGACTAAATTTGGTCACTTTATACCAACAACTTAAGGCATTCACTGAGGTAGCAGATCATGGCATAAAAGGTCGTTGATGTAGCAAGATTTTAACAATCAAATTGTCAATATAAGTCGTAGACATTCACAGGACCAACCCGAATTAAAGCACCTGATCGAAGTCAGCAAAGGAAGGGACCCAGATACCAAACAGTAAACACATGATCCACTAAACTAAGACTAAAAATGTAATTTAAATTTTCATTTCCAAAGGCTCCAACCCAAGACGTATCCCAAACACTTCTACTTTACAAAAAACTCAAATTCCAGTTACTCTATGCATGTGCACAATGTCTCCTCAAACTTCTACGGAATAACGTCTAAATATCTAATACGACTAAAAACACCTTATAATGGCTTAGCATTGACAATATAACCATAGTCAATGCTGAACTAAAATCTATAATAAGGGCAGAAATCCCGTCAACCATTTTTCCTCCTCTAAACACCTTACTCTTGTCCTCCCACAACGCTCCTACGAGTCCTACCTATAAAAATGCAGATCCTACACTTCAATCAATCGATCAGATCAATACTGATTCCTCATTTCCTGTATAATCACTAATCACAGGAAATACCATACCAAAAATCAATACAAAAAACCGCCAATTCAACATTAACAACCTTGCAATCTAATTTCAAGTGTAGTTGAAGCTGAATTAGGTAAAATTAAGCTCTACTTCAAATTATAATAATCATCATGCCAAAAATAGCATTCATCTCACAAAAAAAAAAAAATTACAGCATTCATTTGCAGAAATAAAAAACAATCCAAGAAGATAATTAATCATATAACACAAATTATAAAAAAAAAAAAAAAAAAAAAAAACATACCTTGAATTGGACAAGTAGGCGTGATGATAATCTGATGAAGAAAGAGATGCAGCATTGTGATTATCAGCTGAAGATGTGAGAGAAGAAGACGGAAACGACGACGACGAAGACGACGGCGAAGGAGACGGAAAAGATTGCTGCTGCTGCTGCTGCTGAGTTAATCCAACCTTCTCTCTCAAGTCCTTAAGCAATGTTGTCCATTTCATCGTTTTCTTCTGGAACATCCGACGACGCCGTTTCTCATCCGACGACTCGGATCATTCCTCGCCGTTAGATCCAATTAATCCAACGATGCTAATCGATCTAGCTCCCAGCTCAAATTCAACACCAAAAAAAATCTCAAAAAAAATGTAATCAAATCAAACTTCAAATATTACAGTACAAAATGCAGAAATGTAGATCGAAATTGTTGAAAAAATTAGGGCTTAGAACAAGAAAATCTATTGAAATTTTGATTTTTAAGATTTTTTGATTGAAGCTTGAAATTTGAAATTTATTTTCTTCCTCTTTCTTCGGCAAATTTTATGTTCTGCCCTAAATTTGCTAGCAAAAATTCTGCAAAAAACGCGTTGAACACTATGAAATAGGGAAGAAGATTTTCTTCCTTTTTGATAATATTTCTTTTTTTTTTAATAATTTCCAATTTTGAATAAATAAATTACCTCTGTTTTTTTTTCTTTTTCTTTTTTCTCTCTCCAAAAAATAATTTCCTTTCGTCTATTTGCTGTTTCTTCTCCTCGTTTCGCGCTCTCCTAAATTGATATTAGTACTAGTACTAATCTCATTTTCTCTCTCCTATGACGTCATCATTAAAGATCCACGTCTATGAATATATCCACGTGGCAGGTGAAGATCAACGGCTTAGACGTGGTGACCTCTCAGTTAGCACTATTTTTTTTTTTTAGTAGTAGTGTTAAGTAGTTAGGAGTAGTAATTAAGTTATGTCTATAATAATTTTATGGGATTTTTCAATTATTTTTGGAGGGAAATTGGCCTGCATTAATAATGGAGGTGTTATGTTAGTATGTTTTTATGTCTATTTGCAATTATTTATTTATTTATTTATTTTTAGTGGATAAAATTTATATTCATTTTAATTAAAGGATGTTTGTTTTAATGTTTAGAATCATAAAGGATTTTGGTGGAGTAAATGAATAGCCTACAAGATTGAATGTTTAAAAGATGACTTTTAGAATTATTACACAATTTCCTCTTGTGGTCTTCGATGGCTTTTACGTAGTATTGAAAATGAAAAAAAAAATGTACTATATATGTCATGTTGTTTTAATTTTTTTTTTTTTATTGATAATGAATATGCATGGTGATAGATGAAGGTTTTTAAATTGCTTATATTACATCTTAAAATGGTATGTAAGACATAATTGTTGGAAGTGTTCAATTGAGAAGTATCTAGCTTTGAAGTTTTGTTGGCATGTAATTTTCATTTGGGGCATGTAGACATGTAGCTTTCACGAGTTATTCATTAGTTATCATATAATTTTCATTTTTAAAGCTCAAAAATTGGACTGGTTTAAGGAAAAAGAAAACGCTAGTATTTTTTTTATCCGAATGAGGAAAATGTTATTCCGCAAGAAGAAAAGAAAACAGACAATGCACAAAACAAAAAATAACCAACTCAACGCTAGTATAGTGGTAAAAGTATTACATAATTCACATCTAAAAATAGATATTAATAGGGCTATGTATGCAATTGAATCGATTGGCTATTAATTTTCATCTAGATATGCATTTTTCAAATTGAAATCGTAATAATAATTTATTCAACTTTTGATTCCTTAATTATAAATTGGTCTTCCTAAGGTATACTTGTAATAAATTGATTAAGTTTGAGTTGTGATGATCACTTGAATGATTTGTTTCCCTATTCAATTACCATTTTTTCTAATACATTTGTTCGTACATAGCCTAATTAAAGCCAAATAAATTATTGTTGTAAAACATAAAATAACGCCTAAAAAATTAAATTGAATAAAGAATAATCTACTTTTATAGTATTCGATTTTTTTTCTTACCTTAACACCTCGGTTGTTTAAATTTATTATTCAACATTTGTTCTTTTTTGTTTTTGGATATAACATTGCTTAAGTTTTTGGATCAAACAACCATGCATGTAAAAGGTTGAAATCTTCTTAATAGTATCAATGAAACTTGATCAATTTAATAGACTTAAATGATAATGTGGACTTAATTTGTAGAGAAAAAAAATGAATATTGCCCTTAATTTTGTTTAAAATCATGATACAAGTAAATTGAATGCAAACACAAGAGAAAATATAATGATTGAGTATAGCATTAATTTTTGATGCTTTAATAATTATGTGTGTAATAAGGTAATAACCTAAATTGCCATAAAATACAATTTTATTAGCCATGCAATGAATTGAAGAAGAATAAATGAGATTGAAGACTTAAAACTTCCGTAGCATACTCTCTTCGTCCCAATATATAGTTTCTGTTTGTAGTTTTTCACGACATTTAAGAAATGAGAGGAGAAATTAAAGTGAATGAAGTAAATAAAAAAAAAAGTGAAAAGTACAATTATAGACAAAAGTTAGAGAGGAGAAAGTAAATGAAGTAGATAAAAAAAAGGTGAAAAGTACAATTATAGACAAAATTTAGATAGATAAAGTGGAAAAAAGTACAAAATAAGTGGAAAATTCAAGGGTAATTTAGGAAGTATCATTACATACTACTAAAAGCGAATAAAAAAAGACACTTGTCAATATTGCATTAAAAATTTTCCCTCCAAAATTACCTTTTTAAATTAAATCATTGTTACTTAGGGAAAAAAAATTGTATCTAAATTATGACATTTGTTTTATATAAAATACAATTCCTTTTCCAAAAATATTAAACTGTCCATTATAACTGTTACATGTAATTTAAATATTTTTTCTTGCTTTTTATTTTTTATTTTTAATATACACCATTTTTTTAATACTCAAGTCATTCTATTTATATAATTTTTATAATATTATTTTCAAAAGTATTTAACAACCGTGCATTGCACAGGATTTAACCTAGTAATGAATAAAGTTAAAAAAAATGAGGGTATAATGATCTTTATATATTATTCAAAAATAGAAATAGGAATAATATTTTGAGTCTCCAAAATAAAAAAGCAGGAATTATAATATGGGACGGAAGGAGTAGTTTATTACTCTGTATTTGTGGTTTCGTTTCATAGAGTTGCTATTTTATGATTGGTAAACATTTAAAGTTCTAAACTAAACAAGCAAGACCATAACTTTCCGTTCAATGAAAGCTAAGTGAATAAGTGATGCATGAAATGTGGTTAGGTGTGAATAAGTCTTGTCTCTTAATTAAATAAAATAAAGTTTGGTCAGCCTAAGATGGAGTCAACTAATGTTCATTCACACAACGTTACCATGGTCATGAAATCAACTACTACTATATAAGTATAATATAAACTTCTAAGTAAATGCTACTTTGTAGTATTCAAATACTCCATATCATTTTGCACTCGATCCTTTCTTTTCACCTTAAATTAAATATAACATTCAATAATAATATTTTTTGTTCAGTTCAGTAAATATAATTAAGACTTAATTAATTAGGTTAGTTTTTTTTAATTAATTTATTTTTTTTTTTTTTTGAAAGAAGTTCTAGACGACACTATATTTCATTAGTTAAAGTCATACGATGACATCTACAATTGACAATAGTAAAAAATAGATTTAATCCCAACACTTTTTGGTAATAACAAAATTATACCAGTACTTTGTATTATAGACATCGTCTTTTACCTCAAGTTTTTTAAGGAAGTTATATTAATTTAAACTTTTTTTATTGTAATAATTAAGGGCTTGTTTGACATTGTTTTTGTTTTCAGTTTTTTTTTTTACAAAAATTAAAAACAGGAAACAAGAAAAAGATGTTTCCACTTTTCTGTCGTCAATTTTCAAAATTATTATGATTTTTATAAATTTAACTAATTTATGATTTATTATCTGACATATATCATATGTTTTTGAAAAGCAAAAAGCAAAAAACAAAAAATCACAGTAATACCAAACGAACCCTAAGCTTCAAGTTTTGTTTTTTCAAATATCTTGCACTTACTCTTGTTATGATGTCAATTTTTTCCGAATAGACAAAAATACGAAATTTACAGTAAATTATTATAAAAATAATTAAAAATAAAAATAAATAAATAAATCAACCCAAGATACCAATATGTATTTGGAAGGGCGACAAATTTAGATGTACGTTATCATATGAGAGTACGACGCTAAGAGAGCACCTGCTGTGCCTTGAATGTGTGGATAAACTTATTTGTCAAGTGATATTTTAATTTGCTTGAGGTTTCATTTTCATATAGTATACCATGGTCAATTTTCAGCTCTTGGTGGTCTCATATTCTTATCATTTACAGCATGCTTTAATATTGCGGCACTCCATTTACCAAATCTAGAGATTACTTAATATACCTACTTGTATTGTTTCATGCTCAATACTTGCGTGGTTATATGAAATTGGACATGGTCCAGGCGCATAGCTTAGAATTAGTCTATCCAATGATGCAAAACTATTGAAACCAAGTTGATAGCTAAATTAGATTTCAAAAATGTGCAAAGTTATTTTATACACCTAATCTCCCTATTGATGTTACAAATATATTATTATTGACTTGTATTGATCTAATAAAGTTGTACATGTATTTTGATTTTTAAATTTTGACCATCCACTAAACAACTATCGAGGCTTCAAGCCTCCAATGGTCAAATCCAAATTACAACAAATTGCTCATAGTTGTTAATCGTAGGAGTAGTTGATACTTAGATAATTGCATGATGCTAGTTGGTGGTGATTAGTTGTTTATAGACCTAGACATGGGTCGAGTAAATTTTATATACACCACTTTATCCAGATCACCATAATGCAAAAAGACAATGTTGACATCCTTTTTTGAGCCAGCATGAAGGTCAGTTAAGCACAACACAAAAAGACCCAACTCGACATGAGCTCGTCACAAAATCAATATGACACGAGAGGCTTGGTGGGTAATGGGACATGGACCTTTTTGTTCTAATTTTGGAAACACGGGCACAACAAGTCAGCTTGATATTGTCCGGCTTATTTTGAGCAATTCAACATTAACATATGAAGTACAAATATTTAAGGAGGTCTGTTTACATGACATGACATGTTGTCTGGACCGTGCATGACCTTTGATTTGAAAGATCGGCATGAGCCAACACGACACAACACAACTATTTCCCGGCCTATCTAGGCACAACACATGCCCACCTAACCACCTTTAGTTGTCTAAATAAACTCTTTATAGCATGACAAGAAAATAGACTTGATTTCAACCCTAAAAAGTAGGTTAACGCGTATCTTTATAGAGCTTACGAAGTATTCTTTATCTTATGGCATGTAAGTAAAGCTTATAGATAAAGTTTCTCTTTCTAAAAGATTAAAATGAAGAGGGAGGTAAGAGAATCCCCCTGCTCAGTTGATGATGGTGCTCGAACTTGTGACCTCCAAATCACAAGGTGAGTTCCCATTCAACATCACCAAGCATGATTGGTTAATCAATTCAAATTGAGTCTCAAGTTTCCTCTTGTTAGTTGTGAATCGGGTAAACTCTCGAATTCTCGATTAAAAAA